CTTAATAAGACTGCTGATTTGGATTTGCGTTATTTTCAATTTGAAAAAATTTATTTTTGACAGTTTTGTTTAAACTGCTGTATTTTTTAAAGTGTGCGATTTAAAGCGAAACGAAATTCAGTTCACACATCTATAAACGATTCTTAATAAGACTGCTGATTTAGATTTGCGTTATTTTCAATTTGAAAAAATTTATTTTTGACAGTTTTGTTTAAACTGCTGTATTTTTTAAAGTGTGCGATTTAAAGCGAAACGAAATTCAGTTCACATATCTATAAACGATTCTTAATAAGACTGCTGATTTGGATTTGCGTTATTTTCAATTTGAAAAAATTTATTTTTGACAGTTTTGTTTAAACTGCTGTATTTTTAAAGTGTGCGATTTAAAGCGAAACGAAATTCAGTTCACACATCTATAAACGATTCTTAATAAGACTGCTGATTTAGATTTGCGTTATTTTCAATTTGAAAAAATTTATTTTTGACAGTTTTGTTTAAACTGCTGTATTTTTAAAGTGTGCGACTTAAAGCGAAACGAAATTCTATAAACGATTCTTTATAAACGATTTTATTTTCGTTATTTTTGTTTTTTTTATTTTGAAAAAATTTATTTTTAGTTTGTTTAAACTGCTTATTGTTTAAAGTGTGCGACTTAAAGCGAAACAAATTTAGTTTACATTCTATAATATTCTTAATAATGTGGATTTGCGTTATTTTCAATTTGAAAAAATTTAAATTCTGATTTTGTTTAAACTGCTGTATTTTTAAAGTGTGCGACTTAAAGCGAAACGAAATTGTTCACATATCTATAAACGATTCTTAATAAGACTGCTGATTTGGATTTGCGTTATTTTCAATTTGAAAAAATTCATTTTTGACAGTTTTGTTTAAACTGCTGTATTTTATAAAGTGTGCGATTAAAGCAAAACGAATTTCAGTTCACACATCTATAAACGATTCTTAATAAGACTGTTGATTTAGATTTGCGTTATTTTCAATTTGAAAAAATTTATTTTTGTCAGTTTTGTTTAAACTGCTGTATTTTTTAAAGTGTGCGTTTAAAGCGAAACGAAATTCAGTTCACATATCTATAAACGATTCTTAATAAGACTGCTGATTTGGATTTGCGTTATTTTCAATTTGAAAAAATTTATTTTTGACAGTTTTGTTTAAACTGCTGTATTTTTAAAGTGTGCGACTTAAAGCGAAACGAAATTCAGTTGACACATCTATAAACGATTCTTAATAAGACTGCTGATTTGGATTTGCGTTATTTTCAATTTGAAAAAATTTATTTCTGACAGTTTTGTTTAAACTGCTGTATTTTTTAAAGTGTGCGACTTAAAGCGAAACGAAATTCAGTTCACATATCTATAAACGATTCTTAATAAGACTGCTGATTTGGATTTGCGTTATTTTCAATTTGAAAAAATTCATTTTTGACAGTTTTGTTTAAATTGCTGTATTTTATAAAGTGTGCGATTTAAAGCAAAACGAATTTCAGTTCACACATCTATAAACGATTCTTAATAAGACTGCTGATTTAGATTTGCGTTATTTTCAATTTGAAAAAATTTATTTTTGTCAGTTTTGTTTAAACTGCTGTATTTTTTAAAGTGTGCGATTTAAAGCGAAACGAATTTCAGTTAACACATCTATAAACGATTCTTAATAAGACTGCTGATTTGGATTTTTGTTATTTTCAATTTGAAAAAATTTATTTTTGTTAGTTTTGTTTAAACTGCTGTATTTTATAAAGTTTGCGATTTAAAGCGATACGAATTTCAGTTAACACATCTATATACGATTTTTATAAGACTGCTGATTTAGATTTGCGTTATTTTCAATTTGAGAAAATTTATTTCTGACAGTTTTGTTTAAACTGCTGTATTGTTTAAAGTGTGCGACTTAAAGCGAAACGAAATTCAGTTCACATATTATAAACGATTCTTAATAAGACTGCTGATTTGGATTTTCGTTATTTTCAGTTTGAAAAAATTTATTTTTGTCAGTTTTGTTTAAACTGCTGTATTTTTATAAAGTGTGCGATTTAAAGCGAAAGGAATTTCAGTTCATACATCTATAAACGATTCTTAATAAGACTGTTGATTTGGATTTGCGTTATTTTCATTTTTGGGAAAAACTTGAACTTTTGATTTTTCGACTGACGACGCGAGCGATCGACGTACTATCATTTTCGGTATTAAAAAAATTAATTCCTTATAGTTAGCTGTCAGATTTACATTAATATATATTAAAAACATATTTTCAAGTGCGTTTAAGGTCTTTAAGCGAAGATAAATCGATTTCTATGTTGAAGCGAAAAATTTAAAAAGTGACAAGCTTTAAGATATGTCAAATATACATGCTGAGTCGTGTTTAGAATCGTTTCTTGTGGTTCGGGACATTCGCCTGCGAATGTTACATCGATGTACAAAGCAGAATTAAAAAATTTTGAAATTTGAAAAATTTATCTTTGACAGTTTTTTTAAACTGCTGTATTTTTAAAGTGTGCAACAACAAGCAAAACTAAAATCACTTCACACATTTGTAAACGATTTTTAATAACATTGCTGATTTGGATATGCGTTATTTTCATTTGTGGAAAATTTTGAACTTTTGATTTTTTTATAGACGACGCGATCGATCGACGTACTATCATTTTCGGTATTAAAAAAAAAATCAATTTTTTATATTTAGTTGTCAGATTCACTTTAATATATATTAAAAACAGATTTTCAAGTGCGTTCAAAGTCTTTAAGCGAAGATAGATCGATTTCGATGTTGAAGCGAAAAATTTAAGAAGTTAGAAGCTTTAAGATATGTCAAATATACATGCTCAGTCGTATTTAGAATCTATCTTTATTGTTTAGAACATTCTCAATCGAAAAGTTAATTTATGGAGAAAGCAGAATTCGAACAACTTGAAATTTGAAGAGAATCAACTTTGACAGTTTTGTTTAAACTACTGTATTTTTTAAAGCGTACAACTACAAGCGAAACGAATATTATTTTTCACAATTAGAAACGATATTAAATAATACTGCGTTTTCGGATTTGCTTTATTTTTAAGTCGGGTCACAATTTTAAATTTCGATATTTACATTGAGGAGGCTTTGGATTGAAATGCTGTCGTTTTTTGTGTTAAAAAATAATTTCTCAAATTCAGGAATCACATTTACATAAAAATATTAAAGACACGAAATTTCTAAGTGTAATTAAAAATCATTAAGTTAAGATAGATCAATGTAGATTACGAAACGAATTATTTAAAATGTGTCAAATTTTAAGATATTTAAGATTCACATGCTTAGTATTGTTTAGAATCGATTTTAATTGTTTAGAACATTTTCAATCGAAAAATATATTTATTGAAAAAGCAGAATTCGAAAATCTTGAAATTTGAAGAGAATCAATTTTATACATAACAAAAATATGGTGAATTAAAATTATGTCGAGACATAATAATAATTCAAGGAGTGCACAGACAAGAAAGTAGAGAGATTTTTGAGGGTCTACTTGGTTTTAAAGTCACGTATGAGGAGTTTGCTAACACCTAATATTAAACGTTTTAGTTGTTCACAATCAAATAACGATAGTTTGCAATCTGAATCTGATGCTTGTTCTCGAGTAAAATGCTTGCAGAACTTTATAATTTATATGATGATTAGATACCCAATTTTATGTATTATATTAGTCGATTGCTTTATTTTAGGATTATTTTTTATAGATTAAATATTTTTCTTGTTTAATATTTTTATAATAATGGCATAAATGTGCAGAACGAATATGTTATTCTATTTTTTTTTGTCAATTTTTTGTTTATAAAGCTGTGTAAAGGAGAATTCTAATTGTAAATAAAAAAAACTAATTTATAATAGAGCACTTGTAGAAAATAGAAAATGATTAATTATAATATATTAATTATTGCGTATATGAGTTAAACATTTGATCTTTATAATTCATTATTAGACATATTAAGCTTTATATTTTAATCATTATCAATTTTTTCTATTTACTAAAATTTCTCTATTTCAAAATAGTTTTTTTTTCATTAAAAGTTAGAATTTTTTTTACACAGCTTTATAAACAAAAGATAAACAAAAAAAACAGAATATATGTATTATTAATAATATATTATTTATTGCTTATATAGGCAATAAATAATATATATAATAATATATACTTATAATACTTATTTTTTGCCTCGTTGTGGGCTATTGCGACAGGGAAGCGTTATTTTTATTTTAATTTGCCGAAATTTTATTATGTACATAATTTTATTTTGCCAAATTTCCGTAATGTACATAATTTTAATTTACCGAATTTCTATTATGTACAAAATTTAAATTTTCTTATTTGTATTATGTACAAAATTTTTATTCGTGAATTTCTATTATGTTCAGAATTTTAATTTGTCGAATTTCTGTTATGTACATAATTTTTATTACGTACATAATTTTAATTTCCATTTTCTATTATGTACATAATTTTAATTCATTGAATTTCTAATTTCTATTAAATACATAATTTTAATTCATCGTATTTCTTTTATCTAAATAATTTTAATTTGCCCAATTTCTATTATGTATATTGTATATAATTGTAATTTGTCGTATTTCTTTTATGTAAATAATTTTAATTCGCTGAATTTCTACATGTACATAATTTTATTCTTGAATTTTCATTGTGTACCTAATTTCTTGAATTTCCATTATCTTTTAAATTTTTATTCGCCGAATTTTTACTATGTACAGTACATAAGTATTCTTGAATTTTTATTATGCGTTATAATTTAATAATTTGTTTAGCGCGCGCTTGTGTTATCTAGTATAATAAATATTGGTGTATATAGCTGCTGCTGCTCTCTCTCTCTCTCTCTCTCTCTCTCTCTCTCTCTCTCTCTTCTCTCTCTCTCTCTCTATCTCTCTCTCTCTCTTCCCCCCCCTCTCTCTCTTTCTTCTCCCCTCTCTCTCTCTTTCATTCTCGCATCAGCCACCGCAAAAAGGAGGGCGTCAGTGAGATAGCGCAAGCACGAAATAAATTACGAAATATTTTTGTTTGTGAAAAACGTTAATTAATAATAGGTAGGAACAAAATAAATGTGTAGACAATAAATTTGACAATTTAAGTATTCGAATACTGGCTTAATATATTCATCATCGAATCGAGATGGTGCGAAGTAGCGACAAGTAAGTGAAATATATCGCATCCTGTATTTTGCGGTTATGTCACTGATACCCCGTTTACGTACCGAATTCATCAATCGATCTAATTATTGTGAATTAATGTAGGGATAGACATCATCGACGAAGATCCAGGTCGAGGTCGAGGTCTAGATCGGCTGAGCCTGAGAAAAAACGACGACGATCCAGAAGCAGGGACCGGGAGAGAGACAGGGACAAGGGACGTCACCGAGAGCGGAGGAGTCGTTCGCGAGACAGAGATAGAGAGAGGAGTGACAGAAGGGAACGTTCCGAAAGGGATAGGGATCGCGAGAGAAAACGGTACACCTTTAAAAAGAGTTTCGGTATCTTAAAACCAGAAAAGAAACGATTGCCCATAGCACTTATTTTTCTGTTTAGTCACAAATATATCGAAGATGCTTTTTGTAAAAATAGTAACAATGAAATAATTTGTTGACATTGATTGTTCTCGGTATACTAGTGGAGACAGTAAAGAAAAGCGTCTTACAGGCTCAAAGTCTTCGCGCTCTGGCAAAGAGCGATCAAACAGGTCTCGGTCACGTGATAGAAAGGATAAAGAGAAGGGTTGACAGCGAGGAATTGCCTTTTGACCATACAAAATTAGATAAGGTAAGTCTTGAGAAATAATATGATGAAAGATAAGCAGCTTATGTTGCAATTAATATTTAGGAAGAGAAGAGAGTAAATGCAAAAAAACTAGAGGTGGAAATGCAAAAAAAAAGAGAAGGGAAATTGGATAGATGAGATGTGAAGTGCAGAAAGGAAAAGAAAGAGCTTGGAAGCAACCAAATTGCAAAGTACGGGTAAAGACATCTATTCTTGGCAAAAGGTAAAGGTTGTCCAAAACCTATCAAGTCTTGGGCGCAATGTGGCGTGACTAAGAAAGAATTAGAAGTGTTGAAAAACTTGGTTACGAAAAACCAACACCCATTCAATGCCAAGCAATTCCAGCATATCTGGTCCTCTTATAGGTATAGCAAAACTGGCAGTGGAAAA